TTAGCAGCTACTTTATTGGGTACCCTGATCGCTCTAGGGGCTATAAGTTTTATGATCCCACTATAAGGAATATTTTTGAGACGGGAACAGCAACATTCTTTGAGGATGTTGAGTTTGGGGGGAGAAATAAGGTTAGAGACATTAGTTTTGAGGAGGAATTGGCTTCAGATCCAATCCATACAGTTACTTTTGACAATATTCAGGTTCCTATACCTGTTGTTGCTCAAGAAGTAAATCCGGAACCTCAAGATGATAATGTTGAACAACTCCCTGTTCCAGAAGAACAAACTCAACAACCTCAAGAACCAGTGCCATTAAGGAGATCCACGAGAGAAAGGAGAAATGCTATTCCGGATGATTATATTGTATTTCTCCAAGAACATGAGGAAAGTAGTGGAATGTTAGAAGATGATCCAATCAACTTCTCTCAGGCCATGAAAAGTTCTAACTCTCAACAGTGGATTGATGCCATGAATGAAGAGTATAAGTCTATGCAAGACAATAAGGTTTGGGAACTTGTCCCATTGCCAGAAGGTGCAAAACCAATTGGTTGTAAATGGATTTTTAAAACCAAGCGGGATGCAAACGGTAATGTGGAGAGGTATAAGGCGCGTCTTGTGGCTAAAGGCTATACTCAAAAGGAAGGCATTGATTATACAGAGACTTTCTCTCCGGTTTCATCGAAAGACTCTTTCAGAATAATCATGGCACTTGTTGCTCATTATGATCTTGAGTTACATCAGATGGATGTTAAGACTGCATTTCTCAATGGAGACATTGATGAGATGATTTATATGGTGCAACCAGAAAACTTTGTGTCAGGAGACCCAAAGAATATGGTTTGCAAATTAAGGAAATCCATCTATGGACTCAAGCAAGCTCCTCGTCAATGGTATCATAAGTTTCAACAAATAGTTATCTCGTTCGGTTTTGAGATGAACATTGTTGATGACTGTGTATATCACAAGTTCAGTGGGAGTAAGTATATTTTTCTGGTTCTGTATGTGGATGACATCTTGCTTGCCACTAATGATATAGGCATGTTGCACGAAACCAAGAGATTTCTATCAAAGAATTTTGAGATGAAAGATCTTGGGGACGCCTCTTTTATATTAGGGATCCAGATACATCGAGATCGCTCTCGGGGTATTCTTGGATTATCACAAAAGAGCTATATCGATAAGGTACTTAAAAGGTTTGGCATGCAAGATTGCAGACCAGGTGACACCCCTGTTGCTAAAGGAGACAAGTTTAGTCTCAATCAGTGCCCTAAAGGTAACCTTGAAATTCAGGAAATGCAGAAGATTCCTTATGCTTCGGCTGTAGGAAGTCTAATGTATGCTCAGGTATGTACGCGTCCGGATATTGCGTACATTGTTGGGATGTTAGGCAGATACTTAAGCAACCCTGGTATGGATCATTGGATAGCAGTCAAAAGGGTTATGAGGTATCTTCAGAAAACAAAAGATTACATGCTCACATACAGAAAATCAGAGAAATTAGAGGTCATTGGGTATTCGGACTCTGATTTTGCTGGATGCCAAGATAGCAGGAAGTCTACATCAGGCTACATTTATATGTTAGCAGGAGGAGCTATATCATGGAAAAGTGTCAAACAAACACTAGTAGCTTCCTCCACTATGGCAGCAGAATTTGTAGCTTGCTATGAGGCATCCAATCAGGGAATATGGCTGCGAAATTTTGTCACGGGACTGCGCATTTTGGAAAATGTTGAAAGACCACTAAGGTTATATTGTGACAATAAATCTGCAGTAATGTATTCCAATAACAACAGGAGCTCAACTAAGTCAAAACATATTGACATTAAGTTCCTGGTTGTGAAAGAAAGGGTACAGAGTGGACAGATATCCATAGAGCACATTGGGACAAACTCCATGATAGCTGATCCTCTTACTAAGGGATTGCCACCTAAGGTCTTTCATGAGCATACTGCTCATATGGGTGTGGTATTATTTGAGGATATTATGTTTTAGTGGGAGTTTGTATTTGTGGTGCTTTATGTTTGTTTGTATTGTCTGATCAGAATAAAGTTTTCAGTTAAGACACTCTGTTACATTATGTTTGGTTTTGACCTCACTAAGGAGGACCAGTTGAAAATAGACATGTACTGATCACATTGCATGTAATTTTCATGCTGCACATCCATGATTGATCTATGTCGTTTGATTGTATTGGTATATGTGACCATTGATGGGTCGAGTCACGATAAATGTGACGAAGGCCGCTTTGATCCTATATTGATATAGTCAATGGACGAGATTGTTCGGAAATACCTTTTCAGTGATAGCAATTTTTGAGCTCATAAGGTTATACACAATTTAAGGAATCATATGGTGCCCAAGTGGGAGATTGTTGGATTTAATCTAATAAATCTATTTGTGGGCACATATGATTAATCAATGTGTATTGCTATCTTTCAGGATAACCCACTAAAGTGATCAATTAAGTTGGGTTAATTTGGTATTTAAATAAGTCATGGGGTTATATGTGCAGATACCAGGTTGTAATTGTGATTTATTGAGGGGCTAAATTACAAAAGTACAACATCTATAAATAAGGGGTTATGGTCCCTAATCTAGGGTTACTACATTCTCTAATTCTCTTCACCCCCATCTAAGAGAGAAATTCGGCTAAAGAGAAAACCCTAAGGTTAGAAGATCCAAAACCCAAAATCAAGATCAAGCAATGGATTCAGGTATAAGCTTCCGCTCTTTTAGATTTTTGTTAATCTCTTTGAATTAATCATGGCTATATGGTTTTAGATCTCAAGTTTTATGATGTAGATCTATCACCGGGCCCCACATGGGATTTTAAATTTTTTAAAATTCCATATGGGGGCCCGGTTTACTGTAGCAATAAGAGGGGAGAGTATGGTTGGGGTTATGGTGGATGGTATGCCCCTAACACCACTCTTATAACATTTGATGTAAGGGAAATTTGTCAGGCCCTGTGTGTTTCCCCCATTAATCTACCTTCTCCTGCGAAAAACCTCTTTTTATGTTGATAACTCAGCAAAGAAAGAAAATATGTTTTTTTTATCCCTAAACAACTCTTACGCTCAACCTCTCATCTACCTTTTATTTTCTCATGAACCAATCAAAAAATGCTTCCTTCTTCTCCTCCTCCTCAACCGTTATCTCATTCACCATCACTTTTTCTCATTGCATTCTCTTTATGCTTCTTGTCATTATTTCTCTTTTTTTTCGGCCCTGTAGGTTGTCTAAAAATTACTGCAGATGGATGATCCCTACCAAGCACTGATAATGAAAGTTATAATTTGACGATTTTCAGAACGTTACAATTTGGAGGCTTTCACGACAATCAACGAAAGTTACAATTCAATGGCCTTCACAACAACCGATGAAAATTTTGATTCGACGGCCTTCACAATCATCAACAGGAGTTACAACTGATGACTCTCACATTCCAAGGAGCAGTGATGAAGATCACAATCTTTGCAACGCTCTAACTAAAGAGACTACAAATCAATGGCTAAAATATACTCTCATCCAATATGTAAAGATATTTATACAACTTTATACATATTCACTTCACTTCCCTCATCTTTATTAGAGTTACCAAACAAGATAAAACAAAATTACTTCTGTTCATTTTTTTAACTACTTTTTTTTAATTACTTAACGACAGAAAGCAACCTAACATAGATTATGAGGCTGACACGTGCTAATTGGGCCCCACCGTCATCGTCCAATGAAATTCAAGCTTATTCATGTGGTGAGAGGTTCCCGGAACCAGACTAGACAATGACTAATCCAAGGACGCGAAGGGCCTTCTTTCCTCCTCTTTCCGTTTTCCCCCCCGTTATCTTATTATTGACTATTTGCCCCCACTTTTGCCGTCACATTTTTATATTTGGTATCCACTGAATCACTAAGGTACTTTACATGTAAACCCCTCAAGCTATCACCTTTTAGTACTTATGTATAGAAATTTGCGTTCTCAAAATGCAGAGGGAAACAGTTTTCGACTTCCCTTGGAGAAAATTTTCAATAAAAACGTCCATAGTTTGAAAACAAACAAACAAACAAACTATATCCTCAATAAACGTCTCGTTTCATGACAATGAAAGCGCAATTCTGCTAGAGATCTAGTACAACTGAGATACATATATGTGGAAGTACATTAAAAATCGTTTAGTTTATTGTTAATTTTGCCAAATAGAGGACCTATGTGGTGTTATACTGTTATTAGGATAACGAATGGTCATGTAATTCAGACGACGGCCTTGACTTGAAAATTTCTCACAATCTCAAAAAGACATTAAAGGGTATAAAGAACACAACATTTGGGGGCTCAAATGCAAGAAGACCAAAGGAGCGTTGACTTCAAGGAATCCATCCTGCCCCTTTAAATATCATTTCCGCTCGATTGTCTACTCCTCTCCCTCTCTCTCTCTCAATGCTAACGCGCTCTACTTTCTTCCCCTCTTCCTTCTCCCTTAAAAACTTCCAAAAAAAACCCCTCTCCCCACGAAAAATTAATTCCAACCCCCAAGAAAAACTCCGTCGAACCCCGATGGACTCCTCCGCCCCGCTACTAACCGCCCTCCCCAGCCAGCTCCAAGGCCCCGCCCACCCCCTCAAGGTAAACAAAAACTGGCGCACAAAATTAGCAAAAAAACCCCACAATCCCCCAAAACCCTAACCAACCCCCTCAAAATCCCCAGCCCCCTCGAGCTCCCGTAAATCTACACCGTCTCCCCAAAGTCATCCACGACGAACCGCCGACTTCATGACCTCGTCGCAGCGCCTCACCGCCGCCAACTCCGGCGACCCCTCCGCGCCGCCGCCGCGCGCGCCGCCGACCCTTCAGTCCCTCACCTCCGCGCCTCCGCGCTCTCTCCCCCGCCGCCGCTTGCCGCATCGAGACGCAAAGAAACTCGCCAGGAACAGTTTCAGATCCCCGCCGACGCGCTCCAGGCGGCGGCGACATCGTTATGAGATCAGTAGGGTGGGATAGAAGCGGTGGGCCCTTTGATGCCCGAGCCAATACCGCGGGATCTTGTCGCCGATGCCGGCCTCGCTGCAGCCCATATCGTCGAGTTTCTTCTCGCCCATCGCGAATTTTGATCCGGGCACGCTCAGCTTCTTGAATGATTTAAGCCCAGGGCCTAATTTTGGGCCGGGTAGTAATTTTCTGTCGACCCCGACGATTATTTCGCCTGGGTCGTACTGGGATTTGTTCGGCGACTTACCTTAGCCGGCGTTGGAAAATTCGTCAATGCGCGTTTAATTCGGTGGGGCCCGGCCCTGCTGTATTTTTTTTGGCCGGCTTTGTTGTCACAGGTAACTTCACTTAGCCTCATAAATGTAGCTAACTTTAGGGCCTACGGAGAGAGAGAGAGAGAGAGAGAGATAATGTTGTAAGTATTTATTTATTTAATTTTGTTCAGATTTCATTTTCATTTTCATTTTTTTATTTTTTTTTGGGGGGCAAGGGCTTCTTGCAATTGGGGAGTTTTATAAGATTTGTACGAGTGAAACACTAAATTGGATTCAATTTAATTTTGGTGACTTTTAAGTTGGAAAGCGTAAATGCGTGTGTACATTTATTTATTTATTTATTTTCTTTGGTGTGTTGGTTTGAATAAGAGGGTAGGGGCAAATATTAAATTTATTTAGTTATTCATTTTTGATGTTGATGAATACAAAAGGAGGAAGGGGAGTAGTTGAGTTGTGGGCCGGGGGCTTACAATGCATTTTGTTGGTTACGCCTTATTAAATGTTCTTTGAATGTTGCCTTCTTTATTGTGGTTTTTTTATTTTTAAATAGTTAGCATGAATTTGGAACGCAAATGCATACGGATAAGGATACTGAATGTGAATCTGAATATCATTCTAAAGTTATACATAGGATAAGGATACTGATACGTATATGTGTAAAATGAGGGCGCTGGGCTAAGCGGACTAAGTCCATTTTGAAAAATAGGTTGTCAACCCATTGATTTGTAAGCCCTCTCCCCTACACCGATGTGACTAGCAGGGGCTCACGAGTTCTTATTGTAAAGGAATATATTATAGAAATCTATAATATTATGAATAGTATATTAGGAATGTGTGATTGGGAGATATTAGGGATATGATTTTATTTCATACCTATTTTGTAATATTCTCCTAACCTCTATTTAAGAGAAATTAGAGTTAGATCAGATGAATAATATATCTTCTTGACCTTTTTTTAATTTCTCTATATGATATCAGAGTCATCCTCTTGATCCTAGAGAGATCACTTTCTTCTTCGTCTACATCGAGCCGCCGAGGGGGCTTTTGCTGAAAACTTTGTGCTTCCTCTCGACGGCCTTAACATCGGATTCAACATTGACTCACTGTTCCATCACTCACAACCTCCGCTCACAGCAAAACCCTAGCCTAATTTCACTGCTTTGCAAAATAGTGCTCTTGACCCATGAGTACCATTTGTTGGCAGCGGTACTGTTCATCGATGACACTGTTCGTTCGCTTTGCAGTTCGTCATGGTTACTATTTATTGTAGATGTTGTCTATTGGTACTGTTCATCACGGTACTGTTTGGCGCGAGCTGTTGTTCATCTGGACCGCCGATCACCTACATACCCTAAATCCTCACCTTCGATGATTGATCTCACCTAGATCTCGACGATTCGATCTCGTCCTCGTTGTCGACCACTGCCTCCTTGTCAATCTTTGCTCGAGCCCAAACTCCACCATTTGTTTGACAAATCCTTAAAGAAGGGTTAATTGTTGTAAGATCCTTCAAGAAAGGATCATTTATTATTGGTTCATAGAAAGAATCATTTGTTATTGGATCCTTAAAAAACAGATCATTTGTTGTTGAATCCTTCAAAGAATGATTATTTGTTGCTGGATTTTAAAAATGATCATTTGTTGTTGGATCCTAAAAGGATTATTTGATTGGTAGAATCCTAGAGGGGATTAACGGAATTGAATACATCCAAGTGAAAGATAAGAAGATCAAGATTATTTTGAGGCATCATCACAGATTAGAATGTATACACTTTATTTGTAACAAGCTGAACATGTATGATATACATGCTTCAGCTTGAAGGGGAGTGTTGAGGAATACATTATAGAAGTCAATAATATTAGGAATAATATATTAGGAATCGTAATAATATATTAGGAATATATGATTGAGAGATATTAGGAATATGTTTAGATATAATTTTATTTTATACCTATTTTAATATATCTTAGGAATATTAGGAATAATATATTAGAGATATTAGATAGAGATTAGAGTTAGATGAATAATTTATCTTCTTGGCTTTTTTTAATTTCTCTACACTTACCTATCAGTAGTCCATCCTTATCTATTGGTAGTCCATTTTCTTAAACGGATTGTTAGCATGTTCTCGTTTTTGCCGTGTAAGATATATACATCTCGTGACTAGATTGAGAATACTTTTTAGCATTAAATAGTGGAGAACTGAAACTAATTTTCATAATCAAGAGATCTGAGTCTTAATTTTACAAAGCATGATGAACACATTGGTGAATTATGATTGAATTCTTTTTTTATTTTGCCAACTCTTTTTGCTAATCAAAGGAAGAATTTGATTAGCAAGGGGATAAATACAAATTGGAGGCAAGAAAAAGCTGACTGATCTCATAAGAACATGGAAGACAACAAAAGTTGAGCTGAGCAATAATACTAAAGTAACTTCTCATAAGTTGAGCAGGAATCATTCACGGAACAGATCACTACCAATAATTGTGAAAATATTTATTGCATCAAAAAAGGAATTGTCCTCACTCTTGAATTTTAAACAGGAAAGAACAAACAGTTCCTCCTGATGCAAAAGCAATCCATTGATTACAATCAGTCTAATTATGATTTGCCAACAGCAAGAATCCTACAAAACCATCTCTCAAATCCAGGAGCTCCAAAATCTCACCTACCTAGTACTACAAAATTCATATACAGTTACTATCACCAAATTGCAGTCATTTACCATTTGCAAATTCATGACCAATAACATTCCCTTCAGATCTTTGCTGCTGATTTCTAGGCCCAATTATAGTACCGACCCTTTCACCAACAATGGCTTTCGCAATATTTCCAGGCTTGTTCAGGTTGAATACAACAACTGCATCATTGAAATAGTTAACAATAACTCTTAAAGCATATATATATATATATATATATATATATATATATATACTTTCGAAAATACTATATTTCATTACGCTATACCAGGAATATTGTTTTCTTGGCATAATGTGATGGCAGTCAGGTCCATAACTGACAGATCCCTTGTCGTCACATCTTGATAGCACAAATTGTCGAGAAGCTGAGCATTTGGGTTGCGTTTTGGGTCCTCATCATACACACCATCGACATTTGTTGCTTTCAGCACAACTTCTGCATTAACTGTAATATGCATAAAAATTTGTGTTAGGTTACATATAGCATATAACTGTACCAAGCGTGCTTTATGATACAGTATTGTCTCAGCAAGGAAACTATGTTTCATTACATAGAACATACAGTTTATAACAACAATTTTAAGTCTAATCCAAACAAAATTGATAAGCAACCAAGTCCCATGCACCAAGATCGTGTGAATTTGAGTTCTCTCAAGTCAAACTACAAAGATCATAGATTTGTGGTCTCAAGTCAAACTACAAAGTTTAGGGGTAGAGGAAAAGGATAAAGCGACAGCAAAGTGAAAATATTTCATAAACCATTCTCACACAAGAGCTCAAGAAACAAAAGCTCTTCACAGAGAAAAGTTAATGTTTGAAGATGGATGATATATGTGGCCAACAATGACAATGCCAATAAGTTAAAGACTACAGAGGAGTTTGAAAGAAAGTTGGTAAAAGCATTTGGTTGTGACAAAAAAAGTAATCAAGTTTGAAGCAAAACCGTTTCAGTTTTGGCTAATGCTTTTTACTAAAGGGGGTTGTACAGCATTTTTTGGCTTAATTGCAGATAGATCCTCTGAGTGAACTTCTTTTTACTTATTTACTCCCAAAGAAAGTCTACCTTTTCTTTTTCGTGGTTGTTTGGTTTGGGGTGTGTGGGTGTGTGTGGGGGGGGGGGGGGGGGGGGGGTAGACCTCATGAGGGCAAAAGGCAAAAAAAAAGCACTCGGGAGATCTATCCAAAATTACTCAACACTACAGGAAGTGTGTCTGCAGTTACCCTATTTTGTTTAAGAATTGACTTACTTTCTGCGCAACGAAGAGCTGCAGCAGTATCTGTTGTAAAGAATGGATTGCCAGTTCCAGCAGCAAATATGACCACTCTTCCTTTCTCCAAATGCCTCACTGCCCTTCTTCTTATGTAAGGCTCCGCTACTTCTGACA